TTGTTGTGAGTTTGTGTATTCTTTCATTTAATTAAAATGTACATTTCATGACTTATAATATATTTTTTTTGGCTCTTTTCAAGGTTGGACCAAAAATGCCCCTGGTGCCATCTTGTTGAGTTTTGGGGTTATGGTTGTTGTTGCTGTTTCTCTATTATTTATGTTGGATTTTAGAGCACCTTTTAACCTTCTATTTGTGGGTTGACATATGGAAGTCTTCATCTTTTTGTTCCAAATGTTGAAGATTTTGCCTTTGGATTTGATTTGAGGAAAATGAGAATGAAGTTTTTTGAATGATGGTATAATATGTTACAAAGTTTTCAAGTACGATGTTATTAGAGGTAAAATATCATAATATGCCATTTATCATATCAAAAAAGGACAACGACAAAACTATGTTGCTATTAGAGGCAAAGTATGTCAAATATGGTAATTATCACACTTGAAATATTTGACATTTGTACACTATAAACAGACATAACCACAAACAAAGATGTTATAAGATATTGCGAAAGATTTTATCCAAATGTACAATCTTTTGTAGCATAAAGTACACACAACCCAATAACTTCAGTTATAGTGTAACCAATCAAGTTACCCATTATACCCCTCACTCCTATTTTGTTCCTAACTTTTATGTATTTATAAGTTGAATTTAAAAATATAATGCTATTTTATGCATTTACCTCATAAATAAGCCACAAAGCATCACTTTTGTTATAGACTAATCAAATAAATTACCATTAGACCCATGTTTCACACCCTTGTTTTATACAACTGCTATAAAATGCCATAAATAGCCACATATAGACATTGTTTGGTGGAAAATTTGATTATATAATATGGTATTCATCATACATACATACATGATATAATATGGTATTTGTCACTTAAATACACAAACTCTACATTATTTATTTTGGAAAGTGATTTGCATGAAGGAATAAACAAAGGAATGGAATGGTTAATTCCAAAGGATTGAAAAAGGAATTTTCTAATTAGCCCAATGGAATGGAATGAACCAATCCATTCTGTTTTTCTGGTTTCATTCCTAGAGGAGTGAATATTTCCTTTCAATCGTCCATGATGGAAGTACAGTTCAATACAACACAACCACACATAATGAGCCACAACAACAACACACAAATAACTACCCGATGAAGAAAACCTAAATCTTGTAGAAGAATGAATATTGAAACTGATGCAGAAAGCGATGCGGGTTGATAAGAGAAAGTGAAAGCATAAGAATGTTCAAATCAGTTAATTATAGAATTGAAGTAAAAGGGACATCATTTTTTTATAAGATTAAATTTTCTTCATTACTGCCTAATATTATTTGATTTCAAATAATTACATGATTGTTTGTTGATAAGTGTCAAAAGAAAGTTACCCCATATCCTTAGCCTCTTTCATACGGTCTATAAATGTAATTAGGGAAACTGTTGAACTTGCTACATTAAGATAAGCTACAACAATAAAAAGAACACAAGAGCATATAAGAAACGGTATATGTATTCAATGATCTTAATATCATAAATGTGTAATAAGATTTAGGGACCTAAGATTTAACTTTAATTTTAAAAAGCAAGGATCAATATCTTATTTTCAATCAATGAATTACATATTGGGAAAAGAATCAATTTAAAGCAATAGAATTTAAACTCTTAAATAACAATAAATTTCATGTTGCTTTAAAATCATTTAAAAAAATAGATCATATATCAAATAAAGGAATGATGGACTGAATATAGCATTTGTTGAGCTTATTTTTCAAGAAATCGAAGCCTTTTTTAATATATTTGGAAGAATATCATACAATAATCGATAGATTCTAGAATTGCTCATAGAAGAAATACCTTCAAAGCAAGCTGTCTGAAAGTTATTTTGACCTAAGATTCATACGTATAAGGCTAAATCCTCAGGGTTTTATTCATATATGAAGCAAGAAGATCGTTAGACACATAGCCAACTCAAATCATCTTACTAAACTATCAATCGTCATCATCTTCAGCCACAGTCCCGAGTAGCAATTTAAGATGCGAAATTAACATCAGCAGATTGACCGACCATAAACCTTTGCAAAAAAAATTTAAAAAAGTTCATAAATCCCCAAATAGAAAAAAAGTATAAGGTCTCAAGAATAACAACTTCCAACTTACCTTAAAATCTTGTTGCAAGAGTCCTTGAGTGAGTGATGTTCATGTATAAGATGCCAAGAATACCAACATTCAACTTGCCATTAAAATTCACTGTTTCTGCATTTAGAATTATAGGAAAAGGGTGTAAGTTATGAAAATAAATATTGGCTTCATTAGATACTAACAGTAAATCAGAAGTGGAACCTCAGATTCATTCGAGTTTCATGCTGCGCAAGAAGATAGTAGTCCAACAAAGTCAATTTTCAGCCGAGCATTTCATCAAACACCTTAAATTCAAGGATTAAGTGTGAATTAATAGATAAATGTCTTTGTCTCGAGCTTTACATGCAGTCCTAAATTACTTGGCAAACGTCATACTTGTAGGCTTCTCATTGATTCTACTACTTTTTGTTGGCATGAGATGATCCGAATAATGGAACAACGTTGTTCCAATTGTGGTTAATGTATTGTTGTGGGGTATTTGTCTTAATCGAGTATCTTGTAGATTAGTTTTGATAAAAGAAGGATTGATGTGGAGGCTATTATGTGCCCCATATGCGACTTGGTGTCGGGATATTGTGCCTCCTAGCATCTTCGATCTCATTTCCTGTCATGCCTTGGTGGGTCTTGGATTTACCTTCTTTTCACATGATTTTCAAATTGGACGTCTTGGTATAAAGTTACTTCTTTGACCTCTGCGCAAAAGAAAGCCTTTGAAGATGCTTTTGTATTTTCGCAATTTCATGATATTTGGAGGTGCTAAACCTAAGAAAAAAGATCGCTTTGATAACATTGTTTATTCCTTTTTTTTTTTCTTTTGGATAGAAGCAAGAAGTTTTTTTTTTTCTATCGTCTTGATAGTTTAATAAAATTTTTGTTAAAAAAAACACGAGTTAGCCAAACAAGAAAACTATTTTGCTAAATCAAATAATTAAGAAGTATGTAGTTGGTTCGGTGTCATTTTGTTGCGCAAATTGTTTGCGGAAAAGTTTAAGAGACCTGAAATTTTCAGAGCAACATGTAATGACATTACTGACAGATTAGTGATGGAACTATGAATTTTTATTTTGCTTAATTTTATAACAATTACAATCTTATAAATGATGCATAAAAAAATATTTTTATTGGCTAATTTTTATTTTTCTCACATAACTAACCATTTTAAGAAGGAATAACAAAGAATCTCGATTCGAAGAATTTTCCATCCATTCATCAAGTTCCTATTGAAATAAAATCAACACAAGAAATCGCAATCCGGGAAGGATTTGCAAAATAATACCACAAAACACAAAAGAAAAAAATTGGCAAATATTAGTATGCATTTGTCACAAAATAAAGGAATCTTACAAAGTCACATTTTACATTACTATTTTAAGAGGGATTCGAAAAACCAAAACATCATTCATTCTAATATTTATATAAGCTTCCTTTTGTTTATGATTTTTAATTCCAACATCATTACAATAAATTAAAAGTTGAAATTGTATACGGGAAGGCGACGAGGACAGAGATGAGAGAACCAGTCAATTGAATGTGTCATCAAAATTATATATATATATATATATATATATATATATATATATATATATATATATATAATATATATATATATATATATATATATATATATATATATATATCTTTATCTTTACTACTTATAAAAGAAATCTAACTATTTCTATAAATATATTGAATATAATAATATTATTTTTTTAAGACGTCCAAACTATTAAGCTTGAAGTACAACCCATTTATAATATAATAATATTAAAACTTTAACCATATCCTTTATCCCTTAAAAATCTCGTATCAAATTAATAGAAGAATTCATTTGCAAATTGAACCCGTCAATCTCAACACTTCAACCATTTGAAGCGGTCAATGTCAACAATTTATAGAGGATCTCTTCTCTCACATTGGTAACAAACAATCTCATAATATCTATCTTCGTAATCCCTTCAAAGTAAGAAATATACGCACACTCTCTCGAAGAACCCTAACCAGTAACCAAGACAGTATAACCACCACCACCACAGTCGCTTTGCCTCCTTTCGCCTTCAATCAACCACTATCACGACTACCGCCCTTCCTCTCACCCACGACATGAACTTTCTTTTGGAACATAACATTTTTCTTTAAAAAAATATCGTTGAAAGAAGCTATTTGTCCCCGCCGCTGTGCGCGGGTAACGGCTAGTATATATATATATATATATATATATATATATATATATATATATATATATATATATATATATATATATATATATATATATATATATATATACACACACTAAATTAATCTAATATTAATTTTTTAAGAATGTGTCGACGACTAATTATATGTTTAATTAAGTTGATCGCGATTTAGAAAGTCTAAACGTGCATCTAACACCTTCGACACTCTTAAAAAATCAAGGTGAAAACTCATAATTTACAATAAAAAATATTACGTATATAAAAACTAAAAAACTATTAAAATTATTTAATGGAATGTTTTGCCGGTTAATTAAAAATATTTACACGTATATCTTTAAGAAAGTATCGAAAGTTACAAATGTAGGTAATTAAAAGATAAAACAAACGGTAAATAATTTGGCAAAAAAGTTATATTATATGTTTATTTAGTAGAAATCTATACTTGTCTTTGTTTAAACGAATCGATCTTTTTATATGATCACGATTTACATAAAAACCAATCTAAAAAAGAGATGAAAACCATCAAAGCTAACATTACACACATTCTGATCTTTTATTTTCGTAAACTTAACCTTACATTCTAAAATCTACCAAAATGAAAGATCAAAATCTTTTAATCGCTTGAAATATTGACATATTATAAATCATAATATATAACGCCATGTTATCTAGGACCCGAGACTTGTTGTGAAGACATATATGAAAACGAGTTTAATGACATACTCGGACTACTACTATAATTTGTGGTCACCATAAACCCACCCCCCACTTCAACCTCCTCCCCGGTTCCAACCATTGATGGCTCGGTGAACCGTTGTCCATAAAACCTCAAAAAGTTCAAAGAATCCAACCGTGGTTCAGCCACAGGCAACACCCCTTCGAGCATCCCAACCACATTAGCCATCGTGAGTCGAACCAATGGGTCTTCATGTAAGCAACACAAAGCCACCTTCACAAGCTTCTCAGCTTCATCTCTAGTCACCCGACCGGCTAACCGTGGATCCACTAGGTCCAGGTATCTTCCCTCTTCATGCATCTCCAGTGCATGTAAAGGGAAATAGAACGCCCGGGCGCGTGCTCTACCTCGGGCCTGAGAATGGTTTCGGGATCCTGTTGATCCCGATGACTGACCATCAGTGCTACTAGTCGGGTTTCCCGAGCTATGACTTGGGGCCTGCACACAGTTCTTTCGACCCTGAATCAACTCCAGTAAAACCATACCGTAGCTATAAACATCGGTTTTATCTGAGATTGCAGCGTTTGTGAGCCACTCGGGTGCTAGGTACCCGCGGGTTCCTCTCATTGTTGTAAATAAACCAGATTGTTCCGGGCTCAGCAATTTGCTGAGCCCGAAATCTGAGATTTTCACTTGCATAGTATCACTTAGAAGAATGTTTTCGGGCTTAACATCACAATGTATGATCTTGTGTTCGCACCCGTTGTGTAAATATGCAAGCCCGCGAGCGGTTCCAACCGCAATCTCGAACCGCTCTTGCCATTCCAATGGCGGCCCGGTGCCGAAAATGGTTCGGTCCAATGAGCCACGGCTCATGTACTCATACACCAAGAACCTCTCTCTTCCATGAGCACAAAACCCCTTGAGTTTGACTAGATTTACATGATGAATGTTTCCGATGATTGCAATCTCTGTACCAAATTCTTTCTTTCCCTGAGCTCCTAGGGAGGTGATCTTCTTCACTGCCACCACCGTTTTGTCACGGAGGACGCCTTTGTAAACCGTACCAAATCCGCCGGAGCCGATCTGGGTACTGAAATCTTTTGTGGCCTCGACAAGATCTTCATGATCGAACCTTATAGGTAAACCCGCAATTGAAAACAGCTCAAGATCTTCTGAACCTAGATTATCATTCAATTTCTTTGAATGAGAGTTCTTGGCGTTGTTTCTTGATCTTATACGCATCCAGATGGCGAAAATGGAGATTAGCAGAACGCCGGAGCCGGGAAGTAAAATCAAAGCAACTACGGGGAAATCGGAACTGGAATTACTGGTATGATTTTGAGATAAAGATATTGCTTTGATGAACCCTAATGTATCGTCGTTTCCGTTTGTGGAGCTTGAAATGAAGGAACCCAAATGGTTTTGAAGCAAATAACATGATCCAGATGGATTTCCATGGAAGATAGCCAAACAAGAGCAGTTCGAAGAGCACAGATTTTCACATGTTGATAAATTCACACCCTTTCTTGTTGGATTTGTGAAATCAATTGGATAGTACTTCATCCCATCTCCGAGCGGAATGTATACATACTTCTCCGACGAATTGGATCGCAATCTGGTCCCGTTACCACCGCAAGATTCCGGCAACAATATTGAATTATCCGAGGGTGAGCAGCCGGGGTTTGCGTTCCGATCACCTCTAAATCCCGGCGGACAAGAACATCCACTGGGGGAACAGAGCCCAAGTTTGCCGCAGCTGAACGGAGCACGGCAACTTTCCTCCGGCGTCGTGAAATCTGTCACCCATTTACGGTTTGTGTATCTCATGACGTTGAGATAACCAGCGTTTGTCAACTTTAGTATTCGGTCGTCGGAATTCACAGCCGCCGTCGTAATTAGAACTTGTACCACCACCTCCGATCCCTGGCCTCCGAACAGATAAAAACCAGACCCGTTTACCATGAGATACGAAATCGGTTGGTTTGAATTTATTACAGATTTTGAATCCATCATCAGTCTGTAATACGTCAAATTTTGCCACCGTAATAACCCGTCACTGGTGGTCACTGTAAACGTATAACCTCCCTCGGAGAAGTCAGCATCATCGTTGGAAGCGATTAACGATCCTCCAACCGGAAATCTCTGCCCAGAAACGATGGTATCCGTCGGGTAATCAAAAGATTGCCATAAAGTTTTGTTAAAACGATCAATGAGAAGTAAGTTCCCGGAATCCAGTAGCTGCAAAGAAGCCACCGTGGAATTGAACGTGGGTGTTGACCAAACGGGTATGCCGGAATCATCATAGATTGTAATACCCGTGAAGGAGAGAAGGAGTTGACCAGAATTTGAGATGGGTTTATTGCGGTTGGCGACCCAGACGACGTTGCGGGAGTCAGAGTGGTAGATCAGGAGGTAGAACGACGGCGATTTAGGCTGTGAATTGAACATGGCGGCGGTGTAAGTGCGGTTAACGGAGCGGAGGAAATCGCCGTTTTGGTCAACATAGTGGAAGTTGGAAGCTGTGAAATTTGAAGAAGAAGATATGGAGCCGGTGTAAGTAGTTGCGGAGTAGGAGGTAGACAAGAAGAGGAAGAGGAGGAGGAAGGTGGCGATGGTGGCAGCCATCCATGCAGAGAGAGAATTCGTCGCCGGAGAAACTTGTTTGTATTAAAAATGGCGGTGAGTTTGATTATTGGTGGTTAATTTGCGGCCGTTTTTTTTTTTGGTTTCAAACCGTTGACCTTATTTAAAATACAAAATCACCTTTTTTTATTATATTTATGTAATATAAAATATAAAACACCCTTTTTTTTTTTTTTTTTTTAAACAAAACCACCTTTTTTATTATATATATTTTTCTGTTTATGGGCGACACTTCGAGCGCCGTGGCAGCCGTGCTAGGGTGAGCTGTAGGCGTGAACTCTTGGCCATGTTGCTGACATCAGTTTTAATTCGGTTAACATTAAAAATTATATAAAGTTATATACCAATGTCATATTTCTTTGATCACATTAAAAATATATATAAAATATATAGTAATTATTTAAAACCAAAAAAGACAAACAAGGAACAAAAGGAAGAATAAATATGACAATAGGTGGCATCTTGTAGACTTTTTAAATGTCTGAGGTGTTGGTGAAATATTTTTTTATTAGAAAAGGTAGCCATTATTAGGTGGTCAATTAGACAGAATCTTAGTTGTAATTAGATTAGACACCACTCTTGTTTTGGTTTTATTGTTGAGGACGAATGTAAACTTGACACTACTAGTTTGATGAGTCATCTTGAGAAAGGCTTAAACTTGAATCTAGAAAAATTGGAGCTCAATTAGAAAGCTCAAGATAAAAATATAGTATAAAACAAAGTTTGATGTGAATTTGACCCAAAAACATTAACCACTGTATACTGAATGTTTTTTTAAGAGAATATGAAGATGGGTTTTTCTAACAAATCAATTACCACATGCAAGGCTTCCACTTCGGTAAAGATGGGTTTATAAAGAACATGAAGATGTATTTCATGGGTCTTCAATAAAGAGAGGCCTAGGAATTGGGCATTTTAGGCCTTGTTTCGAGCTTAGGCTTATTCGCGCGTCTCTGATCAAGACATTCAAATATTCAAGATAAAATTGCTATAATTTGTTAGATATTTGTAATAGAAAAAATAAAAGTAAAACGCTATAATAAACTAATTAATGGAAGTACATTTGATATTTCTTGCATTTAACACTAACAGCCAATCTAAAAGTTAAACAATATTTCAAGAATCAAGACGTTCTATGATATCAATATTGACCAAAACTCTATCTGTTCTATTTTGTTTTGTCCTATTCATACATGTAAATTGTGGTGTTGGGTTAAAATGCTATTTAGTAATTTAACCAAGCAAGCACATGTGTGGACACAGGCACACATTTACACGCGCATATATATATATATATATATATATATATATATATATATATATATATATATATATATATATATATATATATATATATATATATAGGGAAAATGACGTATAGGTCCTATAATGTTTCTAGGGTGGACCCATTTAGCCAGTTAACTTATTTTGTGGCTTAATAAGGGAACGAATTAGTCTTTGTCGGGTCGATTAAGTCCTTATTTCAATTTTGAAGGGGTTAGCCGGTCATTTTAAGTCCACCTCTTTCTACTAACACCACATCGGATGTTGACTGTGACTTGCGTCTAATGCCATATCATTAATTAGTCGCCTCCTTCGTAATGTTCGTATATGCTTTATAAAAGAGCCCTTTTACATCTACTGTTCAACACTTCATCGGTAAACCCTTTTTCGTGAGCTGCTTCTGAATCCTCGAGCATGAAACCCGTATTCTTACAAGTAGATGTCCACTTCCAAAGAATGTTCGCCAGAAACCCCATACACTACACCGGTGGAATTACTCAGAGGTTTTCGGACATTGATTTCGCAGGAATGGACAACGATGGGTGTGTTGCGTTCATCGAAAGGTTCACTGGGGAAAAGTGTGAGAAGCTCTATTACTGTCAACCTGATATTGATTTCCCAAAAGGTTTGACTCTAATTTGCAATGACCCCGATTATTACGACTTCATTGAAATTGCATATGAATGTGGTGTTATACTCCCTATGTATGTAGACCATTTTGGGGATAGTAACATACAGGAATGGTTGGATGAACACAAAGACGAGTTTGTTGGTAACGTTAAGGAAGAAGTACTTGATGGTGCAGGACTAGTTAAGGAAGTTGCACCAGGGTATCGCGATGTGGGTGACAGTGACACGAACGATGAGGTACAGAATGGCGATGATGATGACGACGAGGATGAGGATGTTGATGGCGATGAGGATGACCATCAGAAGCCTCATTTTTTTTATAAAGGGTAATGAGAGTCAGGTAGAGATGGGTGAGAAAGCAGGTGCAGGTGAGTTTTTCGAAGAAGACATGGGTGACAATGAAGATGTTTATCCCGAATTGCCAAACATTTTCAATGATAAGCTCAATTGGAAGGAGCAGGAACCTATTTTAGGTATGAGGTTTGAGAGTACTAAGTAATTGAAACACATGCTTTGTAACTATGCTGTCGCGAATGGTTATCAATTATGTTTTGTTAAGAATGATACTAGACGATTACTTGTCAAATGTTGTGATGGCAAATGTACTTTTAGGCTTTGGGGTTCTTGGATGAGTGAAGATAAGTCTTTCCAGATAAAATCTCTTATCGGTGAGCATAATTGTGCAAAGAATTTTAAATTCGGATCAATTGTGACTTACAAATGGATAGGGACCCACTTTAAGCACCAATTTTATAACAATCAAAAGATGAGCGTCTGAATGCTTAGAGAGGAGGTAAAAATAGATTTTGGGATTAACGTGAGTGTGAGTCAGTGTAGGAGAGCCAAGAAGTATGCATTGAGTCTAGTTGAAGGGACAATAACTGAGAATTATGGAAGATTATGGTCATATGGTGAGGAGATTAAAAGATCAAATCCTGGATCCACAGTTAAAATTTGTGTTGATTCAATGCCTGATGGTAAGAATTATTTCAGCAAAATATACATATGTTTTGCTTCAGTAAAAGAGGGATGGAGGGGAAGATGTAGGAGGATCATTAACCTGGATGGTTGTTTTCTGAAAACTTTTTGTCAAGGGGAGTTACTTTGTGCTGTGGGTAAAGATGCTAACAATGGAATATTCCCAATTGCTTGGGCAGTTGTTTCTGTGGAAAACAAAGAGATTTGGAAATGGTTCTTAGAAACTCTTTTAGAAGATTTGCAATGTTGGAATGATGGTAACGGTTTGGTTCTAATTTCATATCAACACAATGTATGGTTCAAAACTATTGCATGTTTTAAATTTAGTTATTGTTATTCGAATTTCAAACATTAATGTGACTTATGTAGGGTTTGATTGAGGCAATAAAGGAAGTATTTCCAGCAGCTGAACATAGGCAGTGTGCTAGACATATCTATGCAAATTTTAGAAAGAGATTTAGTGGATCGAAGTTTGAAAATCTGTTTTGGAAAGCGAGCAAGGCAACAACTAAAGCACAATTTAATGTAGTTATGAAAGAGATTGGAAAATTAAATCCGGAAGCAGTTGTGCATCTTATGGCTAGAGATCCAAAGACTTGGTCTTTGGCTTTTTTCAGAGTTCATAATTCTTGTGAGTCAATAGAGAATGGTTTTTCAGAGAGTTTTAATAGTGTGATTTTGGATGCCCGGAAGAAACCAATAATAAGCATGTTAGAGGACATTTGTATATATGTGATGTAAAGGATGGTGACTATGAAACTAACCGGACAAGGATGGAATGCTTATTCTGTTTGTCCAAACATCAGAATACGGTTGAATATGCTCCAAACTGAGAAAAGGTTTGTACATTTATCCAATTACATTAGTACTTTACTATTCACATCTCATGATATTTTCGGTTTTCATCTATATATGTAGGCATTGGCATGTCATTTCTTGTGGGGGATGAAGTTTGAGGCAAGGAAGATGGACGAGGCGTTTATTGTGGATGTTGAGAAAAAGGAATGCAGCTGCAGGCTATGGCAACTTAATGGATATGGCTGCGTACACTAAGTTGCCACCTTAGCCTAGTTAAATTTGACACCCACTACTAGAAAAAAGCCCTTTAATGACGCGCAAACAATGACACGCGGTGATTTACGATACGCAAAAGTGTGTGCCCCAAAAATAATGTCATCTCTTCTAAAATTTGAAGGATAGAGGGCGCGCATTTTGTGCGCGCCCTAAAATTAGTGTCAGAAAAGAAAAAAAAAGAAATAGGGAGGATGCCTTTCATAAGATGTGCGTCATGTAAGTGTGTCGCTTTATATTTTTTTAATGAAACACGCGTTTCAAGCGGGAAATGAAATCTCAAAAATTAAAACCCCGCCTTTTCTTCCAATTAGCAAGAAAGAATCCTAGGGCTTTGTCTTCCCCTCTCTCTCTCTCTCTAACCTAAAACCCAACCTGCGATTTCATAGAGATCTCCCATGGCTGTAACAATGAAAAAAGAAAAAAGACGCCACGTCGGTGAATTTAGGGTTGGAAGATAACAATGATGAGTGGGTCAACCCTCATGAAATCGATCCACACTTGCTACTTTTCTCCTACCTTTCTCTCCACCCTTCTCTTTCACCATAATCATCTTCTTATTCATTCACAAAATATTCAACATGAAAATCAAATTGCTGTTTCATATTTCATTCATTCATATAAAGCCCTGATATTTCAATTCGATTTTGAACCCTACCTAAATCATCATCCTGGAAAAACCCTAGCACATCATCCCTAAAACGCCCAATAGAAAAAAAAACCCAGATTTAAATCCTTAATTGATTCAGACGATGAGAACTTGGATGAAGTCGCACCTTCTTCACCCTCCGGTTCGACTTCATGGCATTGTTGATTCAAAGTTTTAGGTAATATTTCTTGATATTGTTATACTCTTATCTCTTCAACTATCTTCAATCGTTCGCTTCAATGTCTCCAGTCGATTTCATTATCTTCAATCGATCAAAGTGAAAGATGCCTATATTTTCGGAGTTGATTTGTTAGGGTTCTTTCACATCCCTATAGAGGAGACCGCGATCTCCTCTTCATTCCATGATCCCCACTTCTACTCTCTATGCATCTCAGGTATTCTTTGTTCCTTCTCCCCTATTCTCATTCTTGTTTGATTTCTTAGGTTCGACACTTCTCAACAACATTCGTCGACTTACTCGTAGATTTCCTTCAATTCGATGTTTCTCTTAACCTAGGAAGCATGAATCTGGTGGTTTCGAGGTTCAAGATGTGTCGGTTCCTGATAGTGTCGACGGTGGCGACTACGAGGAAGTCGAAGTTGGCTGAAACAGTTGTGCTAGGTTTTAGCAACAAATTTATGGACATCCATATACATATTGCGATTTCAAAGTCATCTTATGAAATCAACATTCCCTCAATTTGAATTTGATGCAGGTAATACACGACCCAATACAAGTCTCTCTCTCTCTCTCTCTCTCTCTCTCTACTACTCGACAACCACCCAGGCACCCACCACCCTTCGTCTTCTCTCTGGTTCACCACCGCCGTCAATAGAGCCCCATTATACATATTAGTCATGCTTTAACTGCTACTATCCAGGTTAATTTTTTAAAGAACTCTTACATTAGGAGATATGCAACAATTCTTGTGTACTTACTATTTTATGTTTCTCAACATCAGCTCATGGATAGGATGTTTGATGAATTTGCAAATCTCTGGATGAAAATGAAGATTCAAGTTAAAACCAAAGAAGAGCTTGATTCAAAACAGTACATATTCAGACCTCGTGCTTTTGACATTAAAGATGTCATTGAAATGGACGTATCTACCCTCGAAAGTTCGATTGCCAATGAAGCTTTCTCAGAGTGGAAGGAGTTGGCTTCAGAGGAAGTATCTGTTGAAAGTGAAAAGGTAAGCATTCCTCTTGCTAACATTTGTTAATGCAATTGTACTAATGGAAGAAATTACTTCATTTGTTAATCGAAAAATAATTTGGGTTTGATACTGCTGTAGAGGAAGCTCAAAGAGCAATAAATTTTGCACATGTGGAAGTGGAAAGTGTTGAAAATGGAGTTGGAATAGTGAAACTTATGGGTCGATATAGTGGCAAGTATCTATCTTCAATCTCCTCATGAAATAATAAATTGTTAAAAAGTTAATTTTTTTTTCTCTCATTTATTCTTCCAAACTTGTTTGACCTTTTTGAGGATTCATTGCCATGTTTTCCATGTTGGCAAGGCAAGATGTGGTAACTAAATAACAAATTTGTAATATTATTAGTTTTATTAATCTGTAAATCAAGAATAAAATAGATATGTTAATAATAATTAATATGTGTTATTGTAATTGTAAAACAGGATTGCTGCCTGATTCCAGAGTCTCCATTTATCTAGAAGGGCAAGGTGGTCTTTTTGAGTTCATTCAACATAGACTTAAAGAGAATGGGCATGTGGTGACTGTGTTTGGCTGAAGGAGCAGACCAAGAATATGTTTCTGAAAGTGTGAATGCAGTTGAAGAGAGAGAGAGAGAGAGAGAGAGAGAGAGAGATGCATCTGGAAATAAACTGCTTATTGACAGCAACTTATTAGATCATTGGTGGGTGATGATGACCCAATCCCAGATGTGAGGAAGCCTGCCAAGCGACAGTCTGGTAAAGGTTGGTTTCTCTTCAATTGCTTGATTCTTTTACTTATAACAAGGTTAAGTATTACCTTTTCTTTCTGTATCATTTGCAGGTATTTTTATGAAGTATAGAAATTCAAGATTCTCATACACAAAAAATAGAAGAAAAACTACTAAATAAAAAATTCCGAAAATACCCCTGTATCTTATTTTTTGATTTATCCTAACAGGTAATGCAAATGCTCATTATCTGCAAGGCCGTCTATATCTATATCTATGCCTGAATATAATAATACAATGGACATGTTGATGAGGTTGCTTACTAGTACTAGAGAGGATTTTTCCTTGAACGAGTTGATGGAATAATTTTTAAGAACATGTAATTAAATTAAGCAACATAAATATTGGTACTATATTGTAAGAACATGAAGGGCGACTCAAAGCAACTCCAACTGATTCCAATAAATTTCCAAGAAGACATGCATAACCAGGGAACTCAGCTGATATGTCAACAGGTAATATTTTTTCATAATTTTGACTACATGTTGCCATTTTATGAAGATAATACTAACATAGCCCCTGTGAAACATAAGTCTAGACATAGAAACAATGACAAATTTCAATATGTGGAAGCCAAATAAAATAGACAGATGAATTGATGAAATGTTTTTACAACTGAATTACCTCCTTTTGGTGACGAAAAATCTTCCATAGAAAAGGAATTGTTAGAATTTGGGAGGCATAACTCCATTGAAGGTCAATATATGGACAAACACAATACCCTTGACCAGTATGAGTAACAACTAGGGCAAGAACACGCTCCATTAAAGATACACTTCCAATTCGGCTTTCAGAGTTTAAACTTTCCTACAAAAATTTAAATAGTAACAAGTAAAAGATAAGGTAAGACTAAAACAGGATGCAGATTTTAAAAAACTAAAACATATTAACAATTAACATACCCTTCCTGTAATAACAATCTCCCGGAAAATCTTATATATGTTTTGTTGCAAAAGATAACTGGCTATCTTACAAGACCAAGGAAGCTTGGGATCAATCAACAATGCAGCTGCTTTCAACAAGATACTTGTTGGTGTATTTGAGTCCAAATATGTTGATAACAATTGATGAACAACTTGTAGCTTGACAGGTATGCATGCTGTTTAGATTTAATTTAGGGTGGACTTGTAACATGATTGGTTTATTACTTAGAGATTATGATGGAAAAGTTACTCATGAGGAAATGGCATCTGCAGCAATATACTTGAAAGATACTTTAGGCAAGGAAGGGGTTCAGGAGCTTATCACCAACCTTTCCAAAGATAAAGATCACCCTCGTTACTTTACAACTTGTAAAAATTTACTCCAAAACAGAATGCACTTGATTCCCAAAGATAAAGTTCCATTCATTTGGCAACCAAACAAAGCTCAAATTCCAATTCCTTCAAAATCCACACCACACCCTAATAACTTTGTCTTTATACCCGACAACTTGACTTGTTTTGGTATGTGTATTGTATGACAGAGGGGAATATTCTTGTTGAAGACATAGTGAAATTGGGCAGTCGAGCAGAGGATGCTGGCTGATTGATCTCAATTCTCTCAACAACCACAGATGAGATGAATAATGGTATTGTATTCTTTTGTTTGATTTTAGATGTAACTAACTAGTATATGTATAACTTCCAATACCTTTTTTTTTTACTTTTTGTAGCCAGATTGTGAGGCTAGCTTGCTGAGTGAGTGAAATGGTTTATTTTTTTAACCCTGATCTATTGTTGCTTAGGCCTTGTTTATTTTTTCTTATTCTTGTGGAACCAATGAGCAAATAAAGTATGTTTTTTATCAAGCTGTTGTATCTATTCAGACCCGGCTTAGAGAAATGGTTGCAAGAGATGAGTTCAGAAGAAGAAGAAACAAGGCTGCAACTATAGTTCAGGTACTATGGATGAATTATGTTTGTAAAGTATTTAAGAAAATGATTAGAAACAAGGGTGAATTTGTACAGATTAGTTAGCTACTTGCAGGTTGATCTTGAAAAAGCAAAGGGGCAATGGATTGTATTTTTTGTATCTAATTTGTTTGTAAATTTTTGTTACAACTTCTATTGATTTGTTTCATCTTTCCATGGAACGATTATTTGTATGACATTAAATTTATGCAATGGATTCTATTTTTTGTATATGATATTTTATTTTCTATTATGAAACATTAAATACAAATTTAATTTGAAAATAAGTAAATCCAAAAAAAAAAAAAATTTTAAAACATTTTAAATTATGATACGCAAAAATGTGTGTCATCTTCATTTATGACATGACCTTTCTTGACAGGGGATTTCTTGATACGCATTGCGTGTCATTAACACGCGCGTTGTAAGGTTACGACACGCGAATGCGTGTCGTCTTCCTTTATGACAGGGCCTTCCTTGATACGCATTGCGTGTCGTAAACGTGCGTCGTAATTGTGCGTCGTAAATGAGCGTCGTAAATGCACGTCGTCTATAGACGACGCGCGAAAGCGCGTCGTCTCTCTTTATGACAGGGCCTTCCTTGACGCACATTTGCGCGTCGTCTGAGCCTTTTACGACGCGCAATGAGCGTCGTAAAAGGCTGTTTTTCTAGTAGTGACCTGACGGTCCATATGTAGATCCAATGTACTTGGCTGCATTATACCATAATACTTACAAACAGCCAATCCATGGGATGAATGGACAAAATATGTGACCTTCTACTGACTTGATACCCCCTTTGCCTCCATTGAAAAGATGTATGCTAGGAAGGCCAACCATAAAGAGAAGAAGAGATGCTTCTGAACGGATGGGAAAACATACCGTCTGCAAGGCAGGGAAGAAAGTTTCTTGCAGCATATGCAAGGAGAAAGGACACAACAAGGCTACATGTAGTAAAGGTGTAGGAACATCCAAACAAAATGGAACAAAGAAACAAAAAACTATACCTACGCAGGAGTCTGTAAACTTTGCCACAGGAGTAGGGGATGATGAGGTAATCGTAGATGCTAATGATGCTTTGGATAGGCCTAGAGATGAAGAGCGAATGGTGGGAGTCAATGGACGGGATGAAGGGGTAAATGTCAATGCTCGAGTTAAGCATGTTAAACCACCTAAAATGCGAAAGAAGTCAGAACGAATCATTAAACTGAAGCTTGCAAAAAATGTAGGAGGTGAAGGTAGCAGTGTTGCAACGGCCATGGACTTGGATTAAGTAGTTGTTTGTTATTTGTAGTGAATGTGTGTTGCAGTAAACAAATTATCTTTGTATGTTCTTTTATGGTGTACTACGAATATTTAGGGGTATTATGGGCATTTTAGCCAAAACAAAGTAAACTGACCATTTATGATGTGGGGGTATTTGAGTTATTACTATTTAAATTGACCATTTTGGTTGTGGGGGCATTTTAGTCATTAGAAATTAAATTTAACATTTTGGATGTGAGGGCATTTTAATCATTAGAAATTAAAACCATTTTTGGATGTGGGGGTAATTAAGTCATTACAATGTAAATTGGCCATTTTGGATGCAGGGGTAATTAAGTCATTACAAAGTAAATTGACCATTTTTCATGCAGGGGTAATTAAGTCATTGTAAAAAACAGGGGACTTGTGACTTAATCCATTCAACATGAAAATGCTATCTTTAGAAAACTTTATTCCCTTTTTTTTCCAAAAAAGGTTTGCAGACAAGCAGATATGGTTCAATCGTGTGCAAAGGTATTTTTTGTCCCTTTTCCCAAACTGCACCATTTGTGGTCCCTGTCTATACGCATAAAGAAGGTAAATTCATTTTGCTTTGTCTTGTGGTGCCGTCCCAGTCGATGAAACATATATAATACCCAAATGTTTCTTTCTTTCATGCACACATACAGATACAGGTAAAAGACAAATTTGTTTTTTGTAATAATAACATATTAAAACACATTTCACCCATGGGTTTGTTTACATTGCTTTCTGCTATTCAATAACCTATTACAGAGATCATCGACAAAAAACTTCATCAAAAAACGATGACAAATCAGCAGCCCAACAACACCACCACCAAATCTACAGACCAACATCACAAACTAATACCAGCAACCCACACAAAATCTACTACTAATATTGACACTAAACAACATAGGCAACACACCAAAACACAAACCTAGGAGTGAAATGCTTCAACCTACACAACATTTTTTTACTTAAACACCAAATACGTCACTACAGACGCACAAACAACACCAAAATTCCCAACACAAGACATCAGCTTCTTACGTTTGTTGTCCTTGAAGACCATCTTCACATATACTCCTTGCAAAGAAACGAGATGATTTTTAAGATCAGCAACCATATGTGAGATATCCATCTGACCAGCGCGAACGTCATCGACCTCAAGGTTCATGGCATCTAAGTGTCGATTAACTGCCCGACGGAGCTCACGCAACTGGTCTTCACTACTAGAAAAACAGCCTTTTACGACGCTCATTGCGCGTCGTAAAAGGCTCAGATGACGCGCAAATGCGCGTCAAGGAAGACCCTGTCATAAAGAGAGACGATGCGCATTTACGACGCTCATTTACGACGCGCTTTTACAACACGCATTGCGTATCAAGAAAGGCCATGTCATAAAGGAAGACGACACGCATTCGTGTGTCGTAACCTTACGACGCGCGTGTTAATGATACGCAATGCGTATCAAGAAAGCCATTGTCAAGAAAGGCCATGTCATAAATGAAGATGACACACATTTTTGCGTATCATAATTTTAAATGTTTAAAAAAATATTATTTATAGATTTACTAATTTTCAAATTAAATAATACATTATAAATCTCATAATACAAAACAAAATACCATAAATAACAAAGATATTTCATTTCACTAATATGTCAAATACAAATAATTATTCCAAAAGTGAGTAAATGTTATAAAAAATGAACTCATTTATATACAATTGCCTCATCACGACTAATCGGTTTTATAATCTCAAAGTCATCAACGGAAGTGCAGTCCTTATTTCCGGAATGTATAGGGCTGGTTCTCAAGCTCCGTACCACATCATCCTCCAATGGAGCATCTTCATCGATAACCGTGCTTGCGATGTCAACTTTTTCATCATCAACCATCTCACAAATCTGCAAATACTTCTCCCTGCTTGTAACAACTAATAATTAACATTTATGATTTATGATTTATGATTTATGATTTATGATTTATGATTTATGATTTATGATTTATGATTTATGATTTATGATTTATGATTTAACAAACACACACCTCATGAAAAACATGTTTATTATAAAAATGTTATCACCGAATAAGATTCTCTATGCGTGCTCCAAATGTCTCAACGGTCAGGGCATCAAACTTTCTCCGGTCGATCACGACTCTTAAGTCATCAAGACACGTCAGTAGATACGACAAAGATCGGTCATCATCCAATGGCGTATTGCCAACACATCGAGCAATATCAGCAAGCTCATTCATCTACAAATATTTCAATATCAGTACCTATATCTCATAACAAATAAGAACCTGTTACCTACCTGTGGAAGGTCATCATGTTCATAATAGGCACCCTTCCCTGCCAATAACAAGTCTATCTGGCTGGTTTTTGGTGTCATCAATGGCGACCTAGGAGTCATGCTGCCAGCAGATGATGTGGTCATTCCTTGGTCAGATTTAGGACCAAAGTGGGTCCTACATGACATAGAGGGGTGAGCTTTAAGATCATCCATTGATACAGAATTATCGCCTTGATCAAGAAAACAATCAAGCATGTCTTCTGAACCTCTACGTGACCAATCACTAAGCTTAGGAGACATGAAATCACAGTCTTTGGTAACACTTGAACTTGCTTTAGCAGCATCTGGACTTCTATTATCCTTTTGTGAAATCAACTCCATTAACTTCTCTAGGGTTTCAGCAACCCTTACAAGCCTTTCATCTACACTTATACCTGTCTGATCGCAACAATCAGCAATCACACAAATTCTAGAATGTTCTTCCACGTGAAAAGTCAGAACCTCCTCTTCACAAATCCGAAAAATGATGGAAGTTTCATCGGAAATTTAAAATGAGAATTCGTAAATGGTGTAACGTGTAAGTAAATGTATTTACTTTTGTCCTATCAGATGTCATGTGAAGTAGAATCGAAAGTTTGTAGTGAGATCAATCTGTATTAAAAGCTTTAACATCCACTCTTTGCTATGAGAGGAAAAAGAATAGACATTACCATTAGTTAAATAGATTTTTGAGTGAGAAGGTGACAAAATTATTTAAAGAATAAAATATGTGACTCACCTTCTTTTCGAGCTCAAGAAGTGATAGTCCAGCACTAAAAACATCAGCATTCTGAGTGGCAACAGCTATACCCACACGAGGTGAACGATAGGCATCATTTCGAGAGGAAAACAGCATATTTCCCCCTTGTCCCACATAGTCCTGTGGGGAAAACATGTTGGGAGTAGGGGTAGTATGGTCAATTGCTTCTAGAACTTGGATGTTCCTCCTTGAGCTAGTTGATTTTGGCTTTAAGAGACTAAAAGTACCCCTAAAGCTAAATTTTCCAGATCTGGCAGGTTTTGTAACTGATAAGGGATCTGCATCTGCACTCTCTGAAGGGTTGATTTCTACCACTTGATATGTAAGGGGGATAGAACAGTTATTACTTATCCATTATGGGTAAAAAATCATATGATGTGAAAAAGACGAGTCCTTCAGATGAAAGCCTGTATAATCAATAACTTATCAACATGTGAAAGATTAACCTTGCTAATTTCTCACATTTAATCAACAATTGGATTATAGGAGGGACACTTACAACTCTTTCATCTTTGAATCAAATTGAGCCTCATGAAAATAAGATCCTTCATGAACCATAGTCGCCATGACTGCACAAATTGCAGCAATAATCACTCTTAAGCAAAAGAAGCCACGTGAAACATATATGAGTCTGATTATCATAAGCAAGATACAGTGAGAATACAGGGTTCTTGATTACCAGGTTATAAGAACTCGTAGAACCAAAAACCCTATTTCCCCAAATTTATTTAATTATAAACCACGTGATGGATGCAAGTATAGAACCTTGCTTGTGGTTTAGAGCATGCTTCCGAACAGATCCATCAACAACTTGTGCATTCAACAGAATTTGGGTAACTTCCAATGCCATAAATTTTTCTTGCGAACACTGTTTCACCATAAAAACAGGTTAAGATTATTTAAAACTAAAAACACCAACAACACGTTACAAAAGCAACATAAAATCCATATTTCCAACATTTACAAAGAACTGAATTTGAAATGTATGCAAGTTTTAAAAAATTAGAAAAACAAAAGCCAGAGAAAAAAGCCCCAACATTTGTAGAAAAAGCTGGAACAACTATGAAAGTTGTTGCTGCACAAACTAAGGCAATTGCAGGTGATTTGGAAATGAATATATGTTTTATTTTTCATTTTTAAATTGTTTAATCGTTTTTTTACAATGTGAAAGTAACAAACATCTATCATTTTCATGAATTTTTTTTAATTTGCAGATAAGATAAAAAAAACTGGGATAATGTTTGGGCTATTGGAACTGGAAACGTTGCTACCCCGGCTCAGGCTCAAGAAGTAAGTAGAAGGGTATTTATGTCTTTTTGGATTGTATTATTGTTGAAAGATTGAAAACCTTCTGAAACAGGGCTTCCAGAAACCCATGAAGACAATTCCTGTAAGGAAGAGACTGGATAACATGAAAAAGAGAGAAAAGACTATGAGAAACAGATATACATACCTTCTGCCTCTTGGGTCTTTCATTTTCCTCTTCCAAACGTGAGATTTTGTTCTCCAGCTCATGTGTGTATAGCCACCAAGGCTTAGGGTTTTCCAAATACATGTTTGTGTACAAAATGAAGAAGAATACAATGTTATAAAAATAAGAAATTATTCCAACAGCATTAAGATCTAAATAAAAAAGTTATAGAGTGTGCATACTTGTGGTGTTTTCAAGCTCTTTTATCATCTCTTTTGCTTGTAATTCAGCAGCTTTTTGTCCTGCTTCAGCTTCTCTTTTCTCTATACGAGCATGAGCTGAAGCTGAAATGGCAGCATCTACCTCTCGTTCTAATGTCTCTACTCTCTGTTCAAGAATCTGCACCCGAAAAAAAGTCATGTGAAAAAGAGGATTTATTAATATATTTTCTCACAATGTTTTTGAAATGAAATACAAAAAGAGCAGTTGATCCCCAATGAATTGAATTCAATCAGAAGTAGAATGACGATGTAGAAATTGCAACTCTTAACTGTTGAATTTCAATCAAACATTGATAAGAAGACTTGATGGATTTGTTATTAGGTCGAATTTTAGCTCAAAAACTGACGGAATCATGTTAATTTCAAACATGCAACACCAACCAAATCAGCCACAGAAACAGATATCGAAAATCATACGAGTTTTCTCTAATTTGAACAGATTATAAGAAATCCAACGATTGAAACTCAAACAATTCAATTGCAATAAGAGATCATCAACATGTGGATTACCGATTACCATTTACCAATCAAATCATATATCGGCAGAGAAATGTGGTTGAATCTCTTAATTTGACAAGCGAAGTTGTAAAAATTGTTGAAATCAGGTAATAGGAAAAACGGAAACGGAACCTTGATTGTACGGGCTTGTTCGGAGGTTAAGGAGGCTCTGTTTGTGTACAAAATGCCATATGAAGATTGACCAACCCCATTCACGAGAGGTATAGCCACCAGATTCAACCTTTGTGTACTTCTCAAACGCCTCGAAAATTGACCAACCCCATTCACGATATCTGATAATAACATTAAAAAAATTAATATATATCATAAAAAATAATATATATATATATATATATATATATATATATATATATATAAAATCAAGATTAAAAAAAGTAATAATAATAATAATAGAACATACTTTGAATCTTCTGTGATACGATATAGAACAAACAATGATTCAAGGGTTTCAGGGCGCAAAAGGTTATGGCGATCAGCATGTTTGATGACAATGTCATGAATATACTCTGAACTCTTGTTTCCTCCATCAAGATTTTCCTCAGAGTAGCCCTGATTTATCAAAAACACTAATATTTATTAAAAAAAACCAGTAACATCTGAATAAAAATAAGTCACCACTATAGAAGGATTATAACTCTTAAACCTTTCCCTTCCTTCATATCCAAGAAGCATCGCATACAGGGTCAAAACCGTCAATGCACCAGGGACCCATCATCCTTGTTTTCCTTTTCCTTTGATGAATCTGATTATTTCAGATCAAATTTACCTGTATAGATAATATTTAAAAAAAACATCAAAAGTTTAGTAAGTTATAACTTATAATAATAAATAAAGAGAAAATTGATATAGAATCATGGAATCATACATGAGCAATCTCATGCCCTAGATCTGGATGCCTAGGAGCAATTATGGCAAGAATATTGATGTGCTTTTGCACTAAGGCTCTATGAACTAATACCATTAAAGTTGCTTCAGGAAAGTCAGAATGTAATGTGTGGAGTAGATTACAAGTTGCTTCAGGAAAGTCATAGCTCTCCTTAATCCATCTGCATTGCTCCTCAATACTCAATGTTTCAGGGATGAAATAGAAACCTGACAACACATAGTTATCAAGTATCAAGTATATGTATAAACAAATTAACCACATAACATAACTATAAGAGAATGGAGAAGAAATATCAAGAGAAAAAAGGGGGGAGAATGGAGAAGAAATATCGAGAGAAAAAAAGAGCGAGAAGTTGTAAAACCCTAAATCTCCTTGACGGGGTGGAACAACAAAGATATATTGCGATTTATTTTTGGATGAGGCACTACCAACTTTACCTTAGACGATGCTTGAATCGTACCTTTCTAGGGCTTCATTAGTTCATAGATGGCGATAGGGAGAAGTTGTAAAACCCTTAATCTCCTTGTAAGTCTGACACAAGCACAATGTAACAAGCCCTAAATCGTAGTCTTGTGAGCGTGAGGACCCGAAAGTGGTTGGCTCTTAAACAAATGCTTGTAAACTTGAGCAGTCGTTACAGTCTCGGTGAGGTGAGGTGAGCTCGAGGTGAGATCTTGTAGTGATAGTACCTGAAGGTTTCTAGTTCGAATGATTTGGGCTCTGTGGAACCTTGATGCGAGGCCAATCATAAAGCATCCTAGTGCTTCGTCGCAGTGGAAGGTGCATTATGAGTGTCGATTCGCTTAGGTGGCGAAGCAGCAGCAGTGGTGAAAGTTAAAACCCTAAGTCGTCGGTTAATAGAGAACAACATTACATGCTTCCTTCTGCAGACATTTACACCAATTTCCCCTTTCGTCTCTCACTCTAGAAACCCTAATCCCTCCGCCACAATGAACACCATTACAGTTTCCATGGCGCCTTGAAAGCCCTAACCTGAATCTCTTGATCAGAAGCTACTGAACTCCTCAACCTGCACACACACGCTGACCATGCTAGATCTACCACCGGAAGCTTTTTGAAGATCGTACGCGGGATATATTTACAAATTAAAGCCGAAAAATTAGAATTCATCGGAGAGATGGTGGTATATGACATCGCTGGTAATTGATGATGCCATGGAAGAGGATGAGGGGTGTAGGATTGGGGTTTGTTGTTGTTGGAGTTATTTGAAGAAGCGTAGCTAGAAGCAAGCAAGTCAAGAAATAGTGCAAGAAAACTGTTGGCGAGTATTCTCAAGAACAGCAGAGAGATGAAGAAGGTGAAATTACAGCAACGATGAAGTAGATGAATGGAAATCAGAAGCCCTTTTTCTTGATTGAGATGATGAAGTCGAGAGATGGAGATGAAATCGTAACCTTTGATCTTTGATTGAGAAGTTGCACAACAGTGTGAGGAGAATGAAAGATGCGTGAAAATGCTTAGGGCAGGGAGGGTAGCGGGCTTTTCTAATTTTTTGGCTTTTCTTTTCCCGCTTGTAACTAAGGAACGTGCGTTCATTAAAATTATAAAGCGACACATATAGAGGGCGCGCATTTAAGGTACAGCGCCCTCCGTGTTTTTAATTTTTTTTCTTTTGACACTAATTTAAAGGCGCGCAATAATAAGTGACCTAAATCCTTAAATTTTCTGAAGAGATGACCCTTTTTTAATGTCACTCTCGTTTGCGTAACATAAATTAATGAGTGTCGTAATTTGCGCGTCGTAAAAGGCTATTTTTCTAGTAGTGCTTGGAAGTCCTCCCGTATAAGAGACAGTTCCATCTGGGTTTGCAGTAGACTGATGGCGATGTCTTCGTTGGTTACACCATTCGAATGATTCTCATCCATGTGACGGCCGTAATTTGGAGACCAGCTGTGTTCTGCACATCCGCTCGAAGCCATTTTGGAGTAAACTCAGAGACGAGATTGGGTTAATGAAGTTTGTAGAAGTGCCCTTTTAGGTCAACAAAGTCTTCATTTTATATGGAGGCGCTAGAACTATCGATCCTTGCTCCTTACGATTCGCCTTCAATACGACGTCGTTGCCGTTCTTGGACGATTTAACTTCTTGCCATGTCATCGCTTATGTGTTAGGCTAGGTTTATGTGGCAACGTTAACCGGCTACAATAGGTAAAAGGGACTATATTGCTAGGTAACAAATAATTCGTTCCCTTATTAAGCCACAAAATAAGTTAACTAGCTAAATGGGTCAACCCTAGAAACATTATAGGGCCTATACGTCATTTTCCCATATATATATATATATATATATATATATATATATATATATATATATATATATATATATATATATATATATATATATATATATATGGAAAAGTGAATATACCCTTAAGAATATACAAGTTTAGGTACCCAAACTCACCATACTATGCTGTTTTGTATCATATATATACATTGTAATTGTCCAATGCTCTTATAATTCAACTTCTAACTTGATTTACTTCCAAGATTTTTATAAATTTCACATTTATTTTCCTCTTACATAATTTTCATTTTCAACTATAATATATATAGCATTGTAGGTATTCGATAAAAAAATGTGATATAAAAGGAAGACAGTAGTGAAATTTCGAAAATCTTCAAAGTAAATCAAGTTAGAGTTTGTAGTTTAATAACATTATAATGAATATATCAAACAAAACGACTAATTATAGTGGGTTTGGGTACCTAAGTTTGTATACCCTTAAGGGTATATTCACTTTTCTTATATATATATATATATATATATATATATATATATATATATATATATATATATATATATATATATATTCTAGCATGATAACATTTTTGTAACTTTTTCCAGGTAATTAAAATTGCATGGATATGAGTTTATGACCAATTGCAGTTATCTTTTCAACCTTGTGCCTCGTAGTGAACGACGAAGAGAAGGTGAAATAGGACGGCGAATTGAGGTCGGAATGGAGGTTAATCGGTCGGTGGTGGCGGTGGTCACAACAACTGAAAGTTATGTAGGCTCTTTTGGATCAGTGATGCGCTTCCATTCTCCAAGCATTTTATACGACTATAAGAAACTGGAAGAATCGTTTGGTTAATAGGTGGAGGGAATAAAATTAGCAATGCGGTGGGTAAGGATGATTGTATTGAAATTGAATGAGCAAACGACTTATCCATTACCTGACAATGAATAGCACCCGAACATGCCTACATCCAAATAGATCCATTAAAATTGTTCAATTATTGGAATCATATACAAATCACAACAATTATAGGCATGATTAAGGAAACCAAATCCAAAATTCCATTGCTTTGTCATCAAAACAAGCAAAAATTTAAAAACAAATGAAATTTAGGGTTTTTTTTTTCTTTCAGAACCATACGCAACTGATAATTCTAATATCTCAAGTCATGAAATTGGAGGGGAAACGATTAAAAAGTTTGACCTAAGTGATTATGCTACAGAGAAAGGAGCGATAACAGGCGTCCCTCATCTATTCTCCTTGAAACCACGACGTCTGCCCTGAACCTAGCGAGACATTATTGACGCCAACCGTGAAGGTGCTCATCGGCTCACGAACCCTAGCTTTGGTTGAGCACGAATTAAGGAGTGGAAGGTAGAGGCGGTGGTAATGAATTATAGAGGCGGTAGTGAGAATTACCTACTCGATGTCTTGTGTAATTTTCCCTCTGTACATAACAACAAAAAGAATACAACATAAATTATACAGAACCATCTATTTCAAGATCGTATTTCAATAGTCAGTAATAATAATAAGAAACCTAATCAAGAAGGAATATCACACGTAGACATCACTTTAGGGCTATTTAGGGAGCTGTGAAGGAAGAAAGAAGGCGGCACTCGAACATCGATTGATGTGATCGTTCAGCTTCGATGATGATGGTGGCACGTGGCGATGAAGGGAGGTCGATGGTGCTACGTTGGGGTTGTCTTGTATACAATGTGTGAGGGGTTGTGTCACACCCCCAAACTAGAACGTCGGAATCGTTCGTGGGCGGATGACTTCATGTAGTATCGTAACAATTGAATACATAGTAAAGAAAGTAATACAACCATCATATATATAATTTAAAAGTTTACATTGTTGAAAGGTACTTGTTTCAAAACAAATTACAATATGATGTCAAAATGAAACTAAACTGATGTCATAGCGTCCCTTCTTCAAAAGCTGTTTGTTTACCTGTTTTACTGAATTCCTGAGAAATACAAGTAGTTTTGAAAGAGTAGATCAACATTTAAGCTGGTGAGTTCATAAGTATTTAGTATCCCAGCTTCTAACGCACTGTCGAGCTCTTCTCATGGTGGTTGTACCTCTTCTCCAATTGATCAGGGATGACGACTTTAGGTCTTTATTTAGTTAGTTTCTAGTTGTTTGTTTGTTTGTTTGTTTTGCCTTGCTTTGGGGCATGTCCCATAGCTTGGCTAGTCTTTTTTTTCTTTTTCTTGGGTGGTTGCCCTATTCTTTTGTACTCTTCCTATACTTAATATATTTTGCCAAGGGGTTTCCTCTTTTTCCCAAAAAAAAAGTATTTAGTAACAATGTTTGTATGAAATAGAATGAAATGGTTTGTACATGTTTGAATGTTCCTAGAAAATCCCATATTTTCTACTATAGTAGATAGTAGTTTAATTGTTCCAAAACTTGTAATGCAATAGTGCTTTTCATGCCTGAAATAGTAGATTTATGTATAAATCGCTAAGGCATTTGAAGAACCCCATAAATCAATGTGTTTTCAATACTCCATGTGAGTCTTATAACCATGATATTTGACCAGGATGCCTATAACAACGTTCTTCAAGCGTTGGAAGGTTATGACGTTTGTCACCCCAGGCCTGCCGGCCTAACTGTAGCTAACAGGTTAGGTGTGGGATATTCAATCTCGTATAGATCTATACACAAGTATCACGCTCCCCCTACAAGGGATTTTGGTATATAATACAGGACTTAAAATGCATACTCTAAAGTACATGAAATATCTCACAAAACTTAGTATAAAACAGATTTATGTACGAAAATGTCCATTTGTTCTTGTGTATGAAAATATCTTTTTGATATAGTGTTTCTAGTATGTAAATGTTCATGATTTCCTCGTAAACTATACCTATTATAGTTTTTCAAAATGGGTGTTTCGTTCGTATAGTAAACCCTAGTGTAGTACTCACTTGTTATGTAAAGTATAGCATTTATAGTGACATAAATGATCACATATACTTAAAGTATAAATAAAGTGTTTGATTCGTGTGTGTGTGTGTGTGTGTGTGTATATATAAACATGTTTTATTTCCAAAAGACAAGACGTTATCGAGAATATATATTGCATACGAAAGTTCCCATGTAGTAGTTATGAATCACATATGATTTACTTGATAAAAAGAGTATATAGTGAAACTTTATGTTACACACGATAATAACCGTGTGTTTACTTGTATTTCCCCCCCCCCCCCCTTAAAAGTGTATAAAAAGCATTGATAAAACATTTGAAAGTGTAGTTTATAGGGGTATGAACTCACTTGATTGATGGGAGAAAGCGAGATGATAATCAAGCAGAACTTTGACTTGGAAGAGTTGATTTTCTCGGGAATATCGGGAATGTTGGGAGTGTAGAACCTTTCTTTGGAACTTGAGTGTGAAAACCGGGGCTTCGGGACGGCTTTTTGAGGTAATTACGCAGAGTAACAGCACTTAGATGGAAAGAGATGAGCACTAAACCCGACACCCTTAAGCTTCTATTTATAGGGGGAGAATTTGGGTGCCATGTCATGCCAAAGGGTTGGCCACGTCGTGGTGGGCTGCCTTATCCTCTTCCATTGATGGGACGCCCTCAGTCACTTGCCGGGTCGCGGCCAACTGTGCCACGTCGTGGCAGACCTGACAGCCTCGGATTTTGAGCCTTAAACTTGTAAAATCCATAACTTTCGCGTACGAGCTCCGTTTTCAACGTTCTTTATATGCACGCGTGGGTGAGAATATACTCTACAACTTTCGTTTAGACTTCGTCGGATAATTTTGAATTTATTTTGAATTATTTATTTTTAACAGGACGGGACTGGAAAACCCCGTTAAAAATCCATAACTTCTTCATCTGGCGTCTGTTTTTGCCAGACTTTTTACCGTTGCGCTACTTTGGTTGAGACCTTCGATTCTTATTTAGGTTGTTTCGGCCAAAAGTCTATCAATCTCTATTTCGAGTTTTTAGTTGTCTACTGCTATATCCAGATCTTGGAAAAATCATAACTTCTTCATACGAAGTCAGATTTGGACGTTCTTTTTATGTACGCTCACGGTTTAATGATATCCACAACTTTCATTTAGATACTTAAGTCAAAAAACTATTGTATTGAAACTTCACGTTTTTCGTTTAATCGGTGTTGTCGGTTTTGTCGAAAATCTTATAATGGTCATAACTTTTTTTGTTATCACTTGTATTTTAGTGTTCTTAGTATTTTTGTAAACCTTGACACAATATCTAGCATAGTAGGTAACACAATAGAGACTTTTGTACATTTTATTTTCGAAGTTAATTTCATTATTTCAAAAGTGGTTACAATACCTGACTTTTTAGGTCATTACATAGAGTCGAAATATCGGGTTGTCACAGGTTGGTCACTGTTATCTCCATCTCATAAGAGATTAGATCCTCAGAGAAAGGCAAGAAGGTGGAAGTAGACAGAGCAGGAAAGTTGTAGAAAGAAAGAGAATTAAGGAGGTGAAGTTAATAGGCGGTGGAGGGACCAGATATACAAAAGTATCGACCGGGTGAGATGAGGCGGTGGAGGAAAGAAAGTGTATCGTAGATCATCTGCTGTCGGTTTGTTATTGGAATGAGTGGGAGGTCGGAGAAGAACATAACACGTATTATAACACTCAACTATTCTTAATGATGGCTCTGACCAGCAAAGCAGAAAAAGAAAAAAAAACAATCATAGAGAGGTACTGTTCACGTAGGTTCCTTATATATATATATATATATATATATATATATATATATATATATATATATATATATATATTGTTTTATATTTTGTATTAAAAAGCAAAAACAAATTAACCAAATAACCTTTAATCATTTCTTTTATTTTCATATACGATTAAAATTATATTAATCTATCTCCACAACTTATTTTATATATTAATGTAGTTTCTTTGTTTGGTTATAGTTTAGTAAGTTTTTCTTTTAGTTTAATATTTATTTTTACATGCTAAATTTTATTCGATTTAATCGTTAAACCGAACCGAATAAACCATAACTGAATAAACCGAAACCCATTAAACCGAACTTTATTTGGTTTGGTTATGGTTAGATTTAAAATGTAAAAAAAAAACGAACTGTTTTAACCGAAAATCGAATAACACCCCTATAAGGTATGGATAATTTAAGAGCATCTTCAATGGTTAACCTATAGTATGACTTAGGTCCCGTTTGATAGTTGCTGACTGGGAAAAGTTTGTCTGAGTAATAAATTCTAACTGAGTAAGAAATCATTATGTTTGATTGTACATTTGACTGAATGTGCTGACAGATGCAAAATGACCATTTTACCCTGATGCTCTAGTCATGGATAATAATAATAACAACAACAACAACAACAACAACAACAACAACAACAACAACAACAATAATTGATTATAAAAGTTCAGTGTCTAACTAGTAATTTCTAGAAATTAGTTATGCAAGACAATTTGAATTTGTGATAGATTCGGCCAAGATGGGTATCTTCAAGGACCAAAACTACCTAATTCCAATTTTGAGTTGTCTTCTTCCCCTAATCAGATGCAGTCTCTGTTCGTGTTTTTTTAATTGTGCACTTGTGTTCGAGTTTCTTTTTCCCATTCTAGGGATTAAATTGATGGTTGAGGAAGGAGGATGAGGGTGGTGATAAGTTACCCTCTACGAAGGGTCATAAGGAGATATCACGCAATAAATATCAACCGCAGATTGGGAAGATTTCAATGGGTTTGGGGCTGCTGATATTTATTTAGCCTGCAAATTTAAACATCTGAAAGGTGAACTCAAATAATGGAGGGTGACTGAATATCAAAAGGAGCATAAGGAGCTCCTGGATTCGAAAAAAGAGTGGAGGAAATTGACTCAGTGGCAGAATTGAGGCAATTATCTGAAATCGAAATTGTAGAAAGGGCAAGGGGCTACAGTCGAATTTTGGAACTGGAAAGATTTGCCTCTTTAGACCTAAGGCAGAAAGCAAGATTGAAATGGGTGGTAGATGGTGATGAGAATACCAGTTTCTTTCATGGGTATGTAAACAACAGGGCAAGACGAAACCAAATACATGGATTTGTGATAAATGGTAAATGGACCTCTCATCCTGAGGAGATGAAGAACGCAACAGTAACATTCTTCTCCAACAAATTCCATGAGAAGTGGGTGAATAGACCAAACTTTCGGAGTGATTTATTTAGGAAACTATCCCCGTCCGATGCTGAATTTCTAGAGGCCCCGATATCGATTGCTGAAATAAAAAATGCCATATGGTCTTGTGGCAATGAGAAAGCCCCGGGACCGGACGGTTTCACCATGAAATTCTTTAAAAAAAATTTGGAAACCATTAAAGATGATGTATTAGCTGTGGTAAAACATTTCTAAAGATGGGGTAAATTCTCAAGAGGATGCAATGCTTCCTTCATCACGTTGGCAGCAAAGATAAAAGACCCGCTTCAGCTTGAGGATTATCGACCAATCAGCCTGATTGGTTCGATGTACAAGGTTATCACAAAAATCCTTGCCTTACGTATGAAAAAGGTGATTGGCAGTGTGATTGATGAAGTTCAATCTGCCTTCGTTGAGGGAAGAAACATATTAGAGGGCCCCCTAATAGTAAACGAAATTTGCTCTTGGGCTAAGTCAAGTGGAAGGGAAATCTTATTATTCAAGGCAAATTTTAACAAGGCTTTTGATTCGATCAATTGGGGATTCCTTGAGTCCATAATGACTCAAATGAACTTTGGTTGTAAATGGAGATCGTGGATTAGGGGTTGCCTTGAATCGGCTAGGGCTTCTATCATTATTAACGGGAGCCCCACTGCCGAATTCTCAATGAGTAAAGGTGTGAGATAAGGAGATCCTCTATCTCTTTTTTTGTTCATAATCGCGATGGAGGGACTAAATGATGTAATGAAGACTGCGACTTCCAAAGGTATATTTGATGGTATCCATATCCCTAATGCTAATGTATGTCTATCTCACCTCCTGTACGCAGATGACGCTCTATTTCTGGGGGATTGGTCACAAAGGAATGTTGCAAACCTTGCTAGAATCCTTAGATGTTTCTATGTCTCATCCGATTTAAAGGTCAATTTCTCCAAGTCTAAAGTTTATGGTATTGGGGTCCCGTCGCAGGAGGTTGTTAACTGGGCAACCCCTCTTGGATGTGAACCTGCGGTGCTACCCTTCACCGACCTTAGTGTCCCGGTAGGTTTAAATATGAATCGAAAGGCCTCGTGGAACACTATAATAGAAAAATTGAGGTCAAAACTTTCAACTTGGAAAGCTAAAACCCTCAGTTTTGGTGGAAGAATCACCCTCGCCAAAACGGTACTGGGAAGCATTCCCACATTCTTCCTATCTATCTTTGGCGCCCCGGAAGGAGTCATAAGATCATTGGAAAAAATTCGTAGACAGTTTATTTGGGGAGGGTCTACTTGCAAGAATAACATAAAATGGGTAGCCTGGGAAAAGGTTATTGCTCCAAAAATTGTTGGAGGTTTGGGTATTGGCTCTATTCGTTCCCTTAATTTAGCATTGCTAACTAAGTGGTTATGGCGGCTGAAAAACGAACCCAACTCTTTTTGGGTCCAAATTATCAATGGTCTTCATAAATTGGTGGATGCAAATAATAGGTTTGGAGCAAAACATCCTTGGAGCAGTATATGGAACAATATAGTAAAAAGCATAAAAAAGTTAGAAAAAATAAATATTTCATTCGACGATGTAATGCATCAGGAGGAGGCTAGTGGCACATGGGTATCTTCTTTTGCTAGAGATGGACGGTTCTGTGTGGCAGCTCTACGGGAAAGAATTGAAAGAGCATCATTCCTGGTATGTGACGGAATCTCCCCATGGATAAAACTGGTTCCATTAAAAGTATTTGGCTTTATTTGGAGAGCGAAACAAAGTCGAATACCCTCAGCTGAAGCACTCAAAACCAGGGGAGTTACAATGGACCCAACTATCTGTGGTGCCTGTAATATGACAGATGAAACAGGTGACCATATTCTTGCAACATGCACGTTGGCGAGGGATGTATTACGGATGATCCTTCATTGGTGTGGTTTACCGGAGACGGATTTTCATTCAGTATCGGACATAATTGATTATGCATCTAGATGGGGAAACTGTCCTAAGAAGAGGAATAGATTAACTGCGATCTTATTTGGTACCATATGGTGTTTATGGAGAGCCCGAAATGACGGGATCTTTAAAAAAATTGTCTTAAATTCAGAGAGAATAGTGGGGGTTGTTAAATCTTTGACATATGTGTGGATTAAACATAAGGGAGCAAATAATAGTATAGATTGGAGAGTATGGAACTCCTCCCCTTTATTCTATTAATGTATTGTAACTATATTCTCTACTAGCGGCTTGCTAGTGAAGTTATTTTCATTTTTATATATCACATTTTGCCGGTTAAAAAAATATATATATAATTTGAAATAGCATTTTCAAAGTTTAAGAATAATATTTTTATTTCAAATTGCAAAAGGAAAAGTCGCAACATATTTTGATAATTCCCAAACACAATCAATGGCAAGAAATGCAAAATAAAATATAAAAAATATCAATGAAATGATTAAGAGCGAAGATTGAAAATTCAAACATTCATTGATTTCGAAAGAGGATTTATAATTATTACTACAACCGATTATTGATAAATGGACTGACGATATCTATTTATATCAATGGCATGAAACTCGGTTAGTCTATAAACCCATAATAACATAACATAACATAGGTCTCTTCAATGTGACATACTTTAATCCAACTCAAATAAACAAAATCGTACGCATCATCAAACATGCTAGGATTTGCTAATGTGTGCATGTGACATCATCAATATAAATCAGTACAAATTGTTACCAGATGTTATCGTTGTAAGCACATGGACACAATCTTCTATTACCATACTTTCTTGATTTCTTCATAACTTCTATCAAAACAAAAGTTCTATTTATCTCATAATTATTTTATTCTATCATAAGTAATATCATTTCAAGAAGGTCTATTCTAACATATTTAAAACAAAATTTCAATAAATGTTCAAAAACAGTTACGAGTGATATTTCGTTAATATCAAAGAGAGATACAATGTCTTGCTATTTTGTGGATTTTAAAAATCATTTCTAAGTCTCACGTTCTCAAATCCACTATTCACCTTTCACATGTCAAATGTCACTAATTTAGAGTTATGTTTTAACATATTTAAAACTCGGACTTTCAATAAAAAATGTTTGTTCTGCTGGTGATTTAATCACCAAAAATATTTTAGTGTAATGGATTTAACAAGTGTTTCAAGAACAGTGTTTTAGTTATAATACAAGTTAGGAGGTGTGGGAGTGCACACTTGTATTTACTAAATATTGTTAGTACTGAATCTTGATCTACTGTGTCAAGTCGGGGTTCGGGGCAGCGCCCGAAAAAAAAAATTTAGAACAGTACGATGACTAATTTGTTATTCTTTAAAGATGCAAATACAAGGCATAATTTGTATTTTCTGAAAGTTGAAAACCGTTCTCGTTTTATCCGTTGTATGGATAAGTCCGGGAAACACAACGACTTCTTTGAAACACAGAAAAACGGATATCGATTTCTTCTTCATTCTCTCTTAAAATTGATTCTGGTTTTGTGCCTAAAATCAGAATTGTTCTTCAGGAATTATCCTAGTTTGGATTTCGAGATACCCAAAGCAATTAGGGTCGAAATATCAAACAAGGAAAGTGTATAACACGATTCCTGTTTGTGATCCAGATTTTCTATAACCCAAATTTTCGAAATTCCCTAACATGTTCGACCTAGCCTTAACCTTCAAGCTTGGGGTCGAATTTGACAAAGTAATCAACATTTTAAAGCTCGATTCAATTCAAATCGAATAATTATCAAAAAATAAAATAAAATTACATTACATTAGAAATACGATTATGCTTGCAAGCTTGACTCCACCGGATAGATTATGTAAATATAAATCAAATAAATGGTAAAAGTGTAGAGATAACTAAGCTCAGTTAAAAGTAAGAGCTTCATGGTTTGAATATTTCAATTTGAATCCGTCTCGAGTATCTCATGAACTTGATCACCCCTAAGTTTGAGTGTTCCATGTTACCTCCAATTCTCACTATGTCAATATATTTTCCCCAAGGGTTTTAATATCATTGTTATTTCACGTTTAGGTCGAGTTTTAAGGTATAGACCATCCTCATTATAAAAAATCCCAGGGATGTCATTGTATGTGTAGATATGGTGTAAAGTTAGACCTATAATAAGCCTATTGTCTATGTATTCATTAATGGAGATATATGGATTCATGAGGAAAATACAATTCAATTTAAACCCTATATTAATGTTCCATAGTTTTTGATTTTGATTGTTTGGTGTTTAATTTTGAATTCAACTTGGGTTTTATGAATTTTTTTTAAAAAAAAAACAGGGGTATAATGTAAAATAGACAAAATGTCCCACATATATTGCATTATGTATGAGTTAATGTTCTCAATTTATAAATCCATTTCTGGATCATAAAGGGCCGAAATGAAAACTTCAAAACTAGCTCAACAAACGTCATAGTTAAAAACAATTTGTTGATTTATCTATAGAAATATAGAATTAAGTAGTTGCAAACGAGCCAAACTATTCGCGAGCTATTCGAGATTGGATCATTAAAAGCTCAATTCGAAACTGATTTTAAACGAGCTCGAGCCGAACTCAAGCTTAATATTAAGCTTGTTTATTAAACGAGCTCGAGCTCAAGCCTAAATCGCTAAGCTCGATTAGGCTCGCGAGCCTAAACGAGTCTTTATATAATATATTTATTATTATTTATGTATGTTCAAATAAAAATATATTAGGGGAATGATGGATTTAGGATGTTAGTAAACGAGCTTTTTAACGAGCTCGAGCTAAGCTTAAGCTTATTTAGGCACGTCAGATAAAAAACGAGTCTCTGAGCCCGCGCCGAGCTTTATAATTCTTTACGAGCTCAAGTCGAGCACATGAAAAGAAAGCTCGAATCGAGCCGAACTCAAGCTCGAGCCTCATATAACTTAAACGACCACGAGCCGAGCATGACAAGGCTTGAGTTCGGCTCAACTCGTTTACGCCCCTAGTTTCCTAATGAAATATTGGGTGTTTCAATTTTTTGAGGGATTTGTTTGGTATTATATTGATAATATATATATATATATATATATATATATATATATATATATATATATATATATATATATATATATATATATATATATATATATATATATATATATATATATATATATATATATAAACGGAGGGGCCTTGGCTCTCCCTAACCTCTATATTGTTCTGCCTCGTAATAATGTTTATTTTACTCCTAAGAAATGATTTGTATGATCAAATATTTCAATAACAAAATTCACTATTGATTATGTTGTATACATCATAGGGAAACGATTTTAATATTATAATATCTTTACTTTATATTATCTTGAAAACATTGACATTTTCATTGATGTCAAATCTTGACATCATTAATTACATATTTATTGAGTAATGTTCATACGCGAACTCAAGGGTAAGATTGGCATTTTCTACTTTCAGGGCTTCATGCGGCCAAGTTTTGGACAATTATGAAAAGCCCATGTGGGGGCCCGGTAGTTTGGTGGGAAGATGGTAGCCATCCATCAACAAGTTTGCCATTATTAGGACAACATGTTAACATAAATTCAACTATGATTTTAAATGATTTTTTAAAAACCGTTAAAAACAGTATTTTGAATCATTGGTAATTACCGTAAGATACGTATTTCTTCTAAATATAAACGCTAAACAAAGTGGTTAAGTGTTTGCCTCTAAAGTTGCGTTATCAAGTCCCTTTCAAAGCTTTTCTATAAACAAATTACACGAATGATCCTTTAGCTTTATAGTTTTTCTCTGAAATGATTCTTACGAAACTTTTTTCCCTTAGATGGTCCTTATGGAGCAAACCTTGCACACAAAAGAGCCTGTGACTAACTTTGTTAATATATTCTGTAATGTTTTGTTAAATGACAAATATACCCTTTTTTATGCACACAGATGGTCCTTATCTCTCTCTCTCCACAGATTACAGCCCTCGTTTCCCTCATTGTCCTCCTCCGGTCACCACCAACTCAAACCTCCCCCTGAAATGGGGTGACCACCACCAATACCTTCACCAGACTTTTTTTTTTTTTTTTTACCTCCGTTAAGTCATTCTCCCCCGCCATCATAGCCAACCTCAGGCCTCACTTCGACTTCCTCGACTGCACAATTAACGACATCAAATAATATGTTGCCCTAACAGTCGACCCCCAAGTCTAACCCAACGGATTATCAATTGCAGACATCATCGGCATCGATACCTCCACCAAGAGGCTTAGCAAAAACCCTCTATGGAATTGCACCAAAATCGCTACAATCTCTGTCATGAAGATGCTCAAAATTCGATATGTGTGTGTCTCTCTCTCTCACACTCATGGCCGATATGCCTCGCCAGTGAATCGAGCACTAGATACATCATTGTTCACCCCTTCCTTCCCAACCACTGCTAGTCTGAGAACCAAATCAAGAACCATTTACAATTTTTGTACTGGATCGTCAGTAGCAATAGACGAATGTGAGGGGGAACAAAGCAGTCGCCGATCAAGGGTTTATTTTTGGATATGTTATGGACAGAGGAAAGGAGCGAAGAAAAAAGAGAGGCGGTTATTGGTGGCTATTGTCACCGACAGTGGTGGCGAGAGGGCATGCTCTGGCTGCTCGTTGTTTCTTTTTTCCTAATCCGACAGAACATGCGACATACAATGGGTCAAGACGGAACAATGATCTTTAAGGGTGTTTGGGTGGCATTGCTCAACAGGAGGAGGAAGGAAAAGGCAGCTCCGGTGGCCGACAGCCTCTTCCTTGGCTCGTGGTGAAGAGAGAGAGAAGGACCATCTGTGTGTATAAAACAAAGGGTATATTTGTCATTTAAAAAAACTAACAAAGTTAGTCACAGGGTTTTTTTTTGGCAAGATTTGCTCATTAGAGACCATCTAAGGAAAAAAGTTTCGACAACTTCAGAAAAAAAAAAAACTATAAAGATAAAAAAACTATAAAGATAAAGGAGCATTTGTGTAATTTGTTCCTTTTCTATATACAATATCTTTGAAGCAAAAATAGACCTACTCAGAATCGAACTCATGAAAAAACAATACGCTTAAACAAGTTGTATTGCAATTATTTTTCTTACCTATCAAATTAAACCGACTTCAAGTTGTATTGCAATTATTTTTCTTACCTATCAATTAGCAAAATAACATTAATTTTCCATGATAGACACCACTTTTGCGAACGAAATATGTATTTTTCTCGAAAATTAAAATATTCACGAGATATGATGTCAAAATAGTAATTACGCAAATTTATAAGTCTGTTTCATAAATTAAACAGTATTTTGTGGTACATAAAAGACGATTATGGTCATTTAAGTTGATAACTTTTCTTTTATGTATAATGAATGTACTACATATATAAATAAAACAACCTTATATTACATTATTACTATATCAAATATAATTACACGATATATATTAATAAATATTAATTTGAAATATATTAATAAAACAACTTAGAAGGCTATCGATATTTAAGCAATGTTTCAAAGTCTATCTGAAAAGTTAAGGTATTAGCAAAACTAGCTGATAGTTACAATGATAAGTTAGCTAAGAAATATATATAAAATGATAATTTAATATTATTGGATTTGTAATACATTTCATTAAATTAAAAAAAATGTACTAAAAATAGTTCCCTAGTTTTTTTTAAGTAAAATGTATTGCATCTATAATACTCATAATATTAAACTTCACTTCCGGATATCCCAACGAACAATATTCTTTTATAGATCCTACAATTTCAGTATTATTTACGGATTTAATATTATATAAGTATTAAAGTCTAAATACCTTTTAAAATGTTTCATATAAGATTACTATTTTTATGTGGAAAGGTAACATGTATAACTATGATATTTTGTTTTTCTTAATCAAATACTAATTAAAATAAAGATCATTTTGTTAGAAAATTTAATTAATATTTTACAGCATAGTTGTTTCATTAATATTGAGTGGTTAGTATAATTAGAAAAAATAAGTGATTGATATACAATTTTTTTTATATCTTATATACAAGGATGATATATTTATGATACATATTATAATATATACGGATTTTTTTATCCACATACGACGGTATTATACAACCTCATTAAAACACAAATTATTATATATGGATAAATAATATTTTACTATTTGAAAATACTTTTAGGAACCTCAAAAGTCAACAATATACCGGTGTAAGTTAATGGCATACGTAAATGTACTTTAACTTTGGTTTAGGAATTAGCATGGTATAAATTTTGAATAATTAATAAATAATATATTTGAAAAAATATAGGAAAAACTTAATAAGTCTGTTGAAAAATTATTTTTAATAGATTGTTTTTTTAATATAACTTATAAACTACTTTTTGGTTTTCCAAACATGATAAAAAAATTTAAAAAAAAAAAAATAATAATTATAGTATGACAAATACAACCTTAAATATATTTTGGACGATATATGCAATTCAACATATTTAAGTCGTTTATGATAAATTCTTATTAAAATGTTTTTTATATCATATTTTTGGAGGTTATTTGAGATTCAACATATTCAAGTCGTTTAGGTTAAATCCTCGTTAAAAATATTTATTTTTCCTTTTTCATGACATATAAAAAACATGTAATCGAAAACAAAACCTACTTGAACAAGTACAAAGCAAACTTTTTTTTCTTCAAAATCTCATACTAATGGATCAAAATCTCATGCTAATCGAAAAGAGTAGAGTATGAAGTTCATTAAGCATTGAAAAATATACAAGTGTTATAGGATATGTTCAAAAAAAATAATAGATAGTTGGTAGAGTGGTATACAATAGCTAGAATCTATGACTTTATTTCTACATAAAGTGTTGACAAATATAGATGTAAGTTTTTAAAAAAGATAAAATTATAAAGACAATGTGTTGGTAAACAAGATTTTGAGAAATTTTAGTTAGGAAAAAACTTGAATTAAAGAAAAAAATTTGTTCGGAAATACGAATTTAAAGCTTTTATTCTAAATAATATACTCGTAATCCAATTCAATCGTTACTTTAAACAACTTTTGAGAGCTTTTAACATTTAGTTTTTATATAATTTTACAATTTAAAAAAATTTCAGCCAGTTTGTCAAACACTTTTATCCAAATAAAAATTACAACTTTCAACTTTTAGCTTTCCAAGAAATTTCTAAAACTCTCAAAAAAGATAAAAGATCTTAAAGCCTATTAGAAACAATTTTTGAATTAATTTTTTTTTATAATAAAAGTTATAAACCCATACTACCCAACAAAGTTTTTTCTTTAATTCAAACTTTTTCTTAAAAATTAAAAGTTCTCAAAATTACTTGCCTAACATACTCATGACCTCTTACAAAATAAACATGTGCTTCATATTATTTAACCACATTTTCCCTTTTTACATATATAGACAATCTATTATACTTTTTTTATTCATAGTAACAATATGTTTATAGTATTTTTAATTATAATAACTTCATGTAACCTAAAACTTATAAAATGTGTTTTTTTTTGTTTATCCATAATAACAATGTATTCCCAATATCTTACACACAATAAATTTTTCTCATAATTCATTACCCATAATAACACCACATAACCTAAAACTTATAAGTAAATACAAGTACATTGCTACTATAAATACAAATATTAATACATTGGCTATTATGGAAGAAAAAAAAAAGAACTAGAATATATTATCCACATTGATAGTGAAAATAAGCAACTTTTTACCATAAATAAACATAAATATCATAATCCCTGATTTTTCGTTTTTAGAAATTACTCGGTGTGACTTTGATCCTAACAATAACAAAGAGTCAATTACAAGTATTTAGATTAAAAATCCATAGATACGACTCTTAAAGAAGATGAAAAATGTTACAAGAATTAAATAAGCTTCTTCTTTTCAAAGAAAGATTTCAAATGCCATAGCTGCAAACCTGCAACTGATAAGCAAACAAAGAGTGAAAGAAAACTCAACCACGCCATTCTTGAGTTTGTCACTTTGTTAAGCTCTTGCATTTCTCGTTCCCTGTAACAAGGGCGAATACGTAATTTCAGCTTTAGAAATACCAAAATCAGAAACAGACTATTTTACCCTTTTGGGAAATTATTTCACTAACCTTTCTCGGAGATTAAACATCTCCTCATGGATAAAAGTGATGGTATCTGCTAGTTTCTTTAACTCAAATTCCATTGCCTGGAAACGGAAAACTTATAATATGAACATCAAATTTGATATTTTTATGTGATCAGAAAGAATGATGGAAAAGGAATTAGAGAGGCTTACATCTACTGAACCTTTTTTGGCAACATTGGACCAATCTTTAGAAGCTACACCAGTCCTCCAATCAAATTCAATTGGGATCTTAAGTGATGGTTGATGATCAATGGCGTAAAAGCAAGCCATATAATCTCCAGCTTCAACAGCTTGAAAAGCAAATTGCCCTGATTGCACATTTTCAGATGAGTGATAGCTGTTCCCGTAGGATGAAGTCACCTGCATTACACAAAGAGGATAAGAATAAGGTTCAAGAAAGATCCGAACCCTAATTTAATACTACGATCTAATTAAATCCAAAACTTCAGTTGCGAAGAAACCCTAATTTATTACTACGATCTAAAACATATAAGTCGTAATCAATTCACATCATCCAAAAAATAGTAATAAAACTTAAAGGACAACCATGCGCAAACAAATTGAATGTCAAGCATAGACAAAACGTATAAAAACTCCGCGCAGTTCAATTAGGGTTACAAGATAAGTGCAAATCATGAAAAAAGAAAACGAGCAATAAATTACTATCTGATAATAAATAACGGAATTAGCATCTAGAATTAGTTATTAAGTTGACCTTGAGGGTGATTCTGTGAGATTCAGGTAACGGCTGTCCTTCATTGGGATTAACTATTGAGTAATGACCAACTGTCATGGAATTGCTCTTGATGTCTTCTGCTATGCATTTAGTGTGGCCTGATTCGAGCTCGAAACGTATTGACTGAGCGATTGTGGATAGAAGCCCTATGATTACAATGACACATACACCAAATCTTTGAAACTCCATTGTTAACAGAGATCACGGTTCGGGGAAGGTTATTTGGAGTTGGGATTACAAGTAAACTCAGGGATCTATCGGAAGGAGATGATTTCGAGATGTTTGAAACTTGGAAGAATCAAACACCAAAAGGAACCAAGAGTCAATGGGATTTCAATCGCGGTGTTCGTGTTCGATCTTCACGGGTAAACAAGAGAGGATTGAAAAGTGTAGAAAGTAAAAATATGGTGGCTAAATCAGATCGCGGAGAAAATTATATTCTAGTCCCTGGACTGTTGCTTAGTTTTCATTTCTAACCATTTCTATATTTTTAGGGGATATTACATTCCAGTCCCTAGACTATTGCTTATATAGTTATATGTTTCCTCTAGTGCAAACAGGGAAAACTTTATAAAAGTTGTTTTGGCTTTATAATTGATTAATTCGTTATATGTTTTTTTTATTCAATTAAATCACAAAAATCGAGAATTATATTCAATTTGATTCTTTCAGGAGTTGTATGATCTGATGAGTTATTAGCTGAAAGACTGGCTTTTCGATTGTTAGTAACGACTCAGACAAAATTATTTTTACCCGATCAAT